GGTGCAGTTCAAGAAGTCTCGCTGTTACGTCCGTAGTAAAGATGGAGATCTCCAAGGAATGGGAACACAAAGATCTGATGGGTTGTATCAGCTGGATGTCGAGGGAAGTTCGCCTGACTGTCACTGTGCATCAAGTGCTCTAGTAACAGCCAGCTTGTGGCACCAGCGCCTGGGACACACCACCAAATTGAAGGAACTTAAAAATCTGGTGAATGGAGTGGACCTTCCTGCAGAGAAAGAAGTTTCCTTCTGTGAAGCCTGCGTGGAAGGGAAGTTGTCTAGGAAGCCTCATAAGCAAGTGGGAGAAATCCATTCTAAACGCAAACTGCAGTTGGTCCATAGTGACGTTTGTGGTCCCATGCAGACTGAATCTATAGGTGGGTCCAAGTATTTTGTGACTTTTATCGATGACTATTCTAGATGTTGCAAGGTATACTTTATGAAGCAGAAGAGTGAAGTTCTTTGCAAATTCAAGGAGTTTGAGAAAACATTCTCCAATGAATGCGGACAAAAAGTGACAAGACTAAGAACGGACAATGGTGGGGAATACACATCCAAAGAATTTCAAGAATACTTGAAGGTTCAAGGTATCCATCATGAGACAACTGTACCACACACACCTCAGCAAAATGGTGTTGCAGAAAGAAAGAATAGGACATTAATTGAAGCAGCAAGAACCATGCTCTCTCATGCTAAATTGCCAAAGACGTACTGGGCGGAGGCTGTAGCGACAGCAGTTTACATACAGAACAGGCTGCCCACATCTGTTCTAAAGCAAGAGACGCCCTACCAGAGATGGTGCGACAAACAGCCAAATGTGAGTCACATGAAAGTGTTTGGTTGCGTAGCCTATGCACATGTTACAGGTGCAGAAAGAAGAAAACTGGACAAGAAAGCTGTGAAGCTCCGTTTCGTGGGATATGCCAATAATGCTATTGGAAAATTAAGTGGGAGTATTGTAATATAGTAATTTGCCAATAGGTGTCACTGTTGTACTGACGACATTGGGTGTCGCTGCTGTTCTGTTTTCTTCCTACTTCCTTTTTTTCCAGTCGTGATAAAAAAAAAAAACATGTGAAACTTCAACAGATACAGTTTTGCAACCAATTTATTTGCAATGTTCGCTAACATTAAATGATGCAAGACGTACTTAGCCTATTGTTTTTACATCGAACTGAATGAAAATAGCTTAACCTAAGAACGACTTGTGGATTGATGTGAACGCCAGCAGGGATAATGCTCAGAATGATTGTGAATTAAACATCTCCGATGACGTTCATTGCAATGGATTTTATCAAGTTACAAGAAAAGGTAGGAAATGGATTTAATTGCGAACTGTTACTGATTTTATGTGTGCTACGCTGTCACGGCATTCGACTCACACGTGCAGAAGTGGGCAGCCCCAGACTGACAGCTGGCACTGGGGCTAAATTGCCAAAGACGTACTGGGCGGAGGCTGTAGCGACAGCAGTTTACATACAGAACAGGCTGCCCACATCTGTTCTAAAGCAAGAGACGCCCTACCAGAGATGGTGCGACAAACAGCCAAATGTGAGTCACATGAAAGTGTTTGGTTGCGTAGCCTATGCACATGTTACAGGTGCAGAAAGAAGAAAACTGGACAAGAAAGCTGTGAAGCTCCGTTTCGTGGGATATGCCAATAATGCTATTGGAAAATTAAGTGGGAGTATTGTAATATAGTAATTTGCCAATAGGTGTCACTGTTGTACTGACGACATTGGGTGTCGCTGCTGTTCTGTTTTCTTCCTACTTCCTTTTTTTCCAGTCGTGATAAAAAAAAAAAACATGTGAAACTTCAACAGATACAGTTTTGCAACCAATTTATTTGCAATGTTCGCTAACATTAAAGGATGCAAGACATACTTAGCCTATTGTTTTTACATCGAACTGAATGAAAATAGCTTAACCTTAGAACGACTTGTGGATTGATGTGAACGCCAGCTGGAATAATGCTCAGAATGATTGTGAATTAAACATCTCCGATGACGTTCATTGCAATGTTTTTTATAGAGTTACAAGAAAAGGTAGGAAACGGATTTAATTGCGAACAATAACTGATTTTATGTGATACACTGTCATGGCATTCGACTCCTCACACGTGCAGAAGTGGGCAGCCCTAGACTGACAGCTGGCATCTGCATTATAAAAAAATAAATAAAAATAGTCGTTGCTTGTTTACAATGCTTTGTTATATGGAGCAGTTTGTTAGATCGCGATTATCTAATTTGTTTGTCTAAAGAAGTGCCGACAGATGTATGGAAGTACACAAGTCACACCGTAATTTAAAAGCGCAGACTTTAATGTACAGATAAACAAAGGCAGAATACCGTATAACTCCAGGCTGGCACCGTAATATTGACGAACGGCTAAACAGATGCAGAGCACCGTAACTTAATTTGAGCGATCTAAAACAAAGTCAAAGAGCGGTAACTGAGGATACTGTGTTCTGCCTTGGTTTCTCCTGGGCTTTTCTCCACGATACTTATACACATGATAAAGGAGGTCATATATGTCCCAAAATGATCAATAACTCATTTCGACCAAAAACGAAGTTATGGTGTTTTGTCTTTGGACGGCAGCATTGCTGTCACCATAGATGGGCGTGGTTTCAGCAACTAGCGCCTCAGCTTCACCCAC